CTGCACTTTATTTTTTTTTTATTTATTTTTAAATTTTTATTGTTTTTTAGTTCTCGGCGGACACAACATCTTTGTTTGTATGTGGTGCTGAGGATCGAACCCGGGCCGCACGCATGTCAGGCGAACGCGCTACCGCTTGAGCCACATCCCCAGCCCCTTGTGAGGAGTTTTAAGCAGGATGTAACACACATTATTTGTGTTTTAAACTTCCCCAGCATCCCTGAGGCCAATGGTGAAGGATTGTGGGGAGATGGGGTACATTTGCTCCTTAGCAGGTAGAAGATACCATATCCACTCTTTTGGAATAAGGAATCTGGCTGGCCTGTGCTGAAGGATTTTGTCGTCTTTTATTTTATTTTTTTTTTCCTGTTCCAAAGCCACTTAATATTTTCCCTAACTCTAACTTATCTGCTAGGGGCAAATCCTAGTAATTTTGCATTCCTGCCATGCTAATGACAGTTTTTCACCCCAACCCCAATGCAAATGTCTGTGAGTAGAGTGGATTCAGTTCTGGACTTTGTACTTTCATTAAGCTGTTACTTTTGCCAGGATTGGGGAGATGAGTTAGTGGGAGTGAGAGGAAGGAATTTCAATTCAATGACAGACATCTATGGAGCACTTACTAAATGCCAGTCTTGTGCTCAGCATGTTTTCATAGGTAATGCTGCGTTTAAGAACTGTGTCTTAGGGTCTTAGGGGAACCCTGGGTGTAGCTCAGCCTTTGAGAGTATACCTTGCCTGCACAAGACCCTGAGTTTGGTACCCAGCATCAAAAAAAAAAAAAAAAAAAATCTGTGTCCTGGGCTTAGCATCCTTCTTTCATACATGAAGTTCAAGTTTCCATTTTATTTATGTGTTAATTCCATAAAAAATTATTATGCACTTCTTGTGTGTCAGGCACAGTGCCAGGTGTTGAGGTTGCAGTGAGAATAGCCAGACTATTTTTGTCCTTATGGAGCTTATAGTCAGTGGTGGTGCCACAGAGCAGGAGGAGGAAGAGGGGGTTAAGGGGAGGGTGTGCTTCCCTCTTATAATCTCCACAAAATCCTTATTCATTTCTATGTTCAATTGCCATTCCTCAGCCTTATGTCAAGTATTAAACAATGGAAGCCAAGCCTTCCTCCCCATGTTACCTGTTCCCACCCATACAGAAATTCTGAAACTGCTACTGTTTGTGGTTAAGTAGGGGAGATAGACCTTAAACAAATAGTTGTTCAAAGAATGGTTTAATTGTAGTTAACTTAAGTGGAACATACAAAGTACAGAATGCTGAGGTTGGGGCTCAGCCTGGACTCTGGGAAGTTTCCCTGGAGCTTAGTGCTGAGTAGTATAGACTTAACTAGGCTGAATTTAGTGGGGGAAGGTTCAGAAGCAGGAGGAAGCCTTGGGAAGCAATATAGAGACCATGGATAGGCACTGGGACCCCTGTCCTTTGAGAAAGAAGGGGCATATCAGAACTAGAGGTTACAGCTCTGTTCCAACACTCCTTCCAAAGCTTTCTAACTCAGTGAATTCAAATGCTTCAGGTTTGGGGCTGGACAGCTTGAAAGACAGATGTGCAGACAATAACTGCAGATTGCTGGAGCTAAATCCTAGCCCTACAAGCGTCAGAATCTTGGAAAAGTTATTCGAACTTTAGGTGCCACAGTTTTACCCTCTGTGATATGAAAGCTAATAGTAGCAGTACTAACTGCAAACGGTTGTGAAGCTTGACGGGGGTAATGCACAAAAAAGCATTAAACACACATAACACAGTAACTGACAGTAATGTTAAGTGACAACACTTACTAGATGATGATAATTCAATATATCCAGTCCTTTGTGTGTGTGTGTGTGTGTGTGTGTGTATGTGTGTGTGTGGTGCTGGGGATCGAACCCAGGGCTTCATACTTTTTAACTTAGTTCTTGTAGGCAAGAGCTCTACCACTGAGCTACATCCCAAGCCCTTTTTATTTTTCATATCAAGGAAGGGTGCCCAGTTGCCTAGGTTGGCCTTGAACTTGGGATCCTCCTGCCTTAGCTTCTCAAGTTGCTGGGGTTAGGGCTAATAGCTGGTTTGATATGAGGAATGAGTTAGAAATTTAAGAGGACTTCATTTATCTAAGTGTATCAAAAAATCAAAAAGAAATGCCATCTAAAATGCAGAGAAAGGCTGTGGGCTATGGTTCAGCTATGGAACACTTGCCTGACATCTGGTGTGTGTGTGTGGGGGGCAGGGCAGGGCGTTAAACACTTGATGATTGCGTGATTCTTTTTTTTTTTTTTAGAGAGAGAGAGAGGTTTTTTTCAATATTTATTTTTTAGTTTTCGGCAGACACAAGATCTTTGTATGTGGTGCTGAGGATCGAACCTGGGCCGCACTCATGCCAGGCAAGCGCGCTACCACTTGAGCCACATCTCCAGCCCCAGTGATTCTTAATCTCTTCAAGTGTGAACTATAAAATGGGAATGAATCTTGAGAAGATTGTTGAGCTGTAGATGGCATGATGCTTTTTAACTTGCTCAGAGTTGGCTGCACAACTATT